CTAATTAGAAATAACTAAATAGTCAACATGTCCATTAAGAACTTCCTTGATTTGACTTTATTTTTTTAATACTTTATGTAGTCTAGTGTTTTGTTTTGCCTACAAGCTCAAAACATTTCACATTATTGTGAAGGCAGCGGCTGATGGCAGACGGGGAAAACAATTAGTGTCAAATGTTTTCTTCCTGTTGTAGTGAGGGACTCCCTGAGGGTGAATGCTTCACATGGGCACAACGCAGAAATCACAGCAGCTATGAACCAGGAGATAATTCACGCTTCCATCATTTATCTTCTTTCTATGGATATGTCGAGTTATTTGTTTAAAACTCATGAGTCCAAGTCGACTGTGATTAAAAACTAACAACCTATTATTCAGAGTTATTCAGTGATCATGCATTGAATGTGATAAACAATAATGAAAAATATCTTCATTTTCTATCATCAGACTGAATGAAACCCTGATAAAATTCCTCCCTTGATGCGTGTAAGGGTCAGGTTATGATCAAACAGAACTAGTTCATATGATGCATTGTCCGACTGCATCGGAAATCAGAAGGGTTTATAGCTCCTGGAAGGCATGCATAACGCGGTAGTGGGTCGTACATAAAAGAATATTGTGTAAGAAATGAAAAAAGAGAGAGAAGCTCGAGCTGCTGGCTCCTGTTTCACCTCTGCACAGCCGACAAATCACAGCGTAAAGTGGGTGTGAATGTCCAACTGTCAGTTTTGGAAAGTTACAAGAAATGGTCAGACGCAGCAACCCGTAATATCACATTGGAAAGGCGTGGGAGGAAGGGGTTTCTGAAGCCGTTTATTTCAGTCCTGACAGAGTGTACTGGCAGCTTAATACAATCTCTGCAGAGAGTATACACCTAGGTAAGACCTAAATGCTCAGGATACATGTTTGTGCAAGATGCAAGGAAGATATAGCATATTCAAACTATCATAAAAGCACTTCAGTACACTTTAAAAAATAGGAGGATTTGAGAGAAATTACATGTTTTTCTTAAATGTTCTGTGTAACTGTTACTAAAGCAACAACTGTGCTCATCTCTGCAAAATTAGCTTTACTAGAGCATGGACAGGTAAACCAACAGCCTCACTTTGTAGTGAGCTTCTTGATGTAATTTGCTCCACTTCTTAAAATAAGTCACAATCTCTCTCTTCTATTCCGGAGCCTTTAAAAGCCTTGGCACTACTTAAAAGGAATGAGCTGTAACACAATAGCAACAGTCAGTCAGGCACAGGCAAAGAGAGAAAGAACTCAAGCTAGCTCTCATGAGATCCCTCCACTCCCCGAGCTGGACATCAGCAGCAATGCAGAGTGGTGGCTGTGCTCTTTCATTCAAGTGCAGCCTTTCCTCCCCCCCCCGCCCCCTCCTCTATTCAAAGTAACATTGCCAATGTAATTTTCCATGAGAGCTGCTCCATTTTTCAAGGCCAGTGGCACATTGAGGGAGCTGATGAATGCCTTACTCCTCTAGATTTGTATAATGAGAGGTGGGAGAGTGAGACACACTCAGAGGTGGTTAGCACTTGTACGAAGGAAGTAGAGATGATTTATTCAGCATCCGAGAGCCAAAGCTTTGGGGAGCTTTAACTTAGGACACCGACAATGTAGCCACGCTATTACACCTCTACCATGGAGAACAAGATAGCTACTGAGACACATACTGATTAATGCTCGGATTACACATGGACATGAGACAGCTAGTTCTTTTAAATGAACAGATAAGTTGTAATGAGGCTGACAAATTTCCAAATCTACTTCCCAGCAGTAATTGATTTCTACAGTAATGCTGCTTTGTGGTAACATTTTTCATTTAACTGACCCTAATATACACATGACACAGACACTTAGAGCAGGTGCAGGATAGCTGTGTACAAGTTTCATTTACCTGGATATAATTCTGTCACATCATTGGCGAAAAGGTAAGAAGTTAAAGTGCAAGATGAAAATTTTCTTTTGCATTCACATTTTACAAGCTACAACAACTAAATACATGAAGAACATTGAACTTCAGCCCCACAAAAGGTGTGACAGCCCATAAGCAAGTATGTAGGATTCCCTAAAGCGAAGCTGTGAGTCAGGTCAGTCGTCATTTTTCACCCATTTTTTCTAAATCAGATTCCGTATCAATTTTCTAGTTTGTGCGAGCTGCAAAAAACTGTGGCCTGTGGACACTGAGCTAGAGCTGCAATGACTGGTCGATCAACCAAAAATTTATGGAATTATCATTTTAGGTATTAGCAAATATACCACACATTTGCTGTTTCTACCTCCTCAAATATGAGGATTTTATGGGTTTTCCAGCTGATTAATCAATAACGAAAACAATCATTCTTGGAAGCCCTACACCGAACACTAGCTACTGTGACTAGTGTGAGATGAGGAAATTGGATTCTGCTGCTGCTGCCACATCTGTGATGAACAACAGTCATGTGAAATGCTCATTCTAGGCACAGGGATTATGTTTCTAGCTGATACGGTTACGGTGGAGTTCAGGAGCTCTGCCGTTTGCAGCAGCCTTTGCTTCGACTGTGGCCAGTGGGAGTATCTGTTACAGAGCCAGCATGGCTTCAGTTCAATGGGCATTTAAAATACACTTTTGTGTTCTAGCTACTGTAATTGTAACTAATGTAAATTTTAAGACGTGTTTGCTAACACATGTCTCTTGTACCGAGCAACCTGTCAAATGAACAGCACTGAGCTGCAATTTTTGTATAGTGGCCACAGTTGGAACTGCAAATTGTGCGACATGCTTGGGTCCAAAACGCCTTTTTACAAAATTAATGGTTGTAGAACAACAAATAATTCATATTCCAGTTATTTTTCTATTAATCATTTAACCTATAACAGATTAAAAAGCTAAAGGTGACATCTTCAAATGTCTTGTTTTGTTCAAAAAAGTCCAAAATCCACAAATTTTTGTCGTTTCTTCTACAATTTTTGCTTGAAAAAAATTACTGGAATGATTGATATATAATCAATTGCTATCAAAATAGTAATTACCAGCCATGTCAGTATATTATCCTTAGGAACTGTTTTGGGGCGTGTGTCTGGTGAGCAACCTTCAATGGAATGAATGGGCGTCTTCATAAAACATGCAGCATATTCTACAACCGGGATGTTCTCCAATCATCACAGCTCATTTTCTCACAGGCTCAAATTTTTCCTTAACACTGCCTTTCACCGATTCCAAAAATGAAAAGGCCGTTCAAATATGTCTGAGTAGATATTATCAAGCTGACTGGTGTCGACACTAGAGCTGGGTCTCAACAAAGTCCAATAACCCTGAATGTTTTTAAATACATATATTGATTTTATTTGGTTTTGTTTAATGTTTTGAGAAAAATTAACTTGCAGTTTTAACACATCCATTAACTGGGGTTGCCAACTAAAAAACTGCTCTTCAAGCCTAAATTGCTGTGTGCAGCAATATAATCACATCCTTTTTTCATCATGTTTTGAAGGATACTTTCCTTCAGTTAGCTATTTGAAAGCAGTTATGACCTCTCTCCTTTATTCAGTGCTGTCAACCAATTCATGTTGTTGTTCGTCAAAAGCCTTTTCATTCCAAGTACATTATGATTACAAAGACTTTCCTGAAATTTCCTTTCATAGCATTGGCTCCAAAGAGACGCTACAGCTTGTGTTCATGACTGGGTGTCCTGGATTTAAGGAATCAAACAGGCTTCCTCGCAGCCCATCCCCCATGCCACTTTCAGAGCAGCAGGAAAAACGACGAAGGCGTGCTTTGCACCAGCTCCCTCCCCCACATACTGCTCCACCAGGCATTACTGGGGCTTGTGGGATTAAGAATGGAACACGATGACAGACAAAAACAGTCCTCAGCACCTCCCTGCTCTGCTGTCTTTTATACTGCGAGAGCATGAAAAGGCTGCTATGAGGCATACAATAGACACAGTGATAGATCAACTCTGAGTGAACAAGATAAGTGTGGGTGAACAGCTACACGGATCTTTATATTGTTCTTGTATGACAATGTCAGCGTTGAAATTGTGTGAAGAAAAAAAAAAGTAGAACACGATGTGACATTTACTTAACTTCACAGGCGTAATGTGATGTATATGGCTGACAGTATCTATTATATTCTAGACTGACGAATGGGAACATTTCCCTTATCTGACATTAGGACTCAGGTTTCCATGTACAGTACATAACGCTTCCATAATTACAACAGATGTTGGTATTGATTTTTAACATGGTATAAGATTTTTTTTTTTTTTTATATCACGGCACTTATGCATCCTTTGAAAATGAATCAAGCCTCCACTGATAAGAACGAAAGAAAAACACCACGATTTGGGGTATTTCCTGTAGCTGGTCTCATATTCATCAAGAGTGGCCTTTTTCACCATGTGGTAATAAGAGAAAACAGAAGTAGATCTTTTTGTGCATCACATGTTAGACAGCTTCAGGGAAAGGAGTGCATCTCTCAGCCTGCTATAAGGAACAGGCTATCACAAAGCACAACTTCATGAATCCTACAATCTCCAGTCCTATTGTGTCCTACTGTATTAATTCACACAGCCGGTATTGTTTCAAAGATGCTCCTCACAGGCAAATACAACTCCACAGCTGTTGCTTTTACAGCAGTCATGGAAAAAAAACCTCCAAAACTCATCAGCAGGCTAGTTAGCATAGCTTCATTTAGAGCTCAATTTTCAAAGCAGGACTATGTTTGTTTGTGGATATGTTTTTTTAATTACCAGAATAATTAACTTTTTTGATACATGTGTATTTAACGCCTCAAATAACTTTTAGCAACTTTATATAAACTACTGACTGTTAACAGTAAGATAATGGTGCAACATTAGCCGACCAACTGACAACTGCACATCCCCAAAAAAAGCATGGAATTAATAATTGCCTGCGACAAAGACAAACATCACCAAAGACTTACAAGTGAAATAATATATAACAAAACACCAAACAAATCCATGCAGCATGAAAAGAGAGTAAAAAGAAAAGCTTACCTTCTCATTTTTCACCTTCTTTAGCGTCTTGCATTCACTATTACCATTTTCCACCTCCTCTGGTTCAGTTTTTGTGGCCAATGCTGGTACTATCCCAACAGGTTCAAGTGCAATATTCCCCATTTGATTGGCTTCTGCCATGTCCGTTGATTGTGTGTTCTCAAAGGACGTATTACGACTATTCCCCAAAGCGACGTGGGCTTGAGACACAACATCCTTCTCCGCAGCAGCTATTGCCACGACTGGGGCTCCATCTGTTTTGTCCTTCTTACTTTTCCCAGTAGCCACTTCTTTCTCTTTTTTACCACTCAGAACACCTCGGGAGGCTTTGCCCCCCTTTTCCATGTTCCTTCCAGAGGTGGAATTACTGCCAGCAGCTCCTGCACTTGCTGCTGTGCCTGTCGGCTCCCCCTGAGTCCGTCCTGTAGTTTCTTTTTTGCCCCCATCTCCAGCTGAAGCTTTGCTACTATTGTCTTTAGAGTTCTTACTGCGCTTGTATTTGGATTTGCTTTCCTTGCCTTGAGAGCCAGACACTGGACTAACAAACCTGATGTTGTCAGGCAATGCTGCCACTGCACTGGGTGGTGCCGCCATGCCGTCCTTGGTACCAGACATCTCAAGTTTGTCTTTCTCTAAGTCAGCGTCGAGGTCAATAATCAGATTTCCAACACCAATATCCCACTCATCCCCGCTGTCGTAAGTGTCCACCGCATTAGAGTCCACACCTTTCCCGCCTGCAGTGCCACCACTTAGGGACATTTTAGTGCCAACGGCCCAGGATTGCCTCAGTGAGGTCCGACACCCTCTCAGACGGTTGGGACTCCGGGGCACGGGTTAGAGAATCCTCACGGTCTACTCGTTCCTGTCCCATTTAACCACATATTCCCTAAAAGAGAAATAAGAAAAGAGTTATATTAGACTAATACTCCAGACATAGAAATAATATTACTACAGCTCTGCCATCACGGAACAGAGCATTTCAGAGGGTACAAGACACAAAAAAAATCATTTGATCATGGGCCAGTAATTCTCTGATGATCACTGCGCAAACCACTATGGTAATACCCACTGGTGTGACAGCACTGCTCCGAAACCCTCTCTTTATAATCACTTCCCACAGTCGTCATGGCAACCATGGGAAATGTAGCCTAAATCCTGCTTTGACAGCCAAGGTGGCCCCACTGTTCTGAATGACTGGCTCTCTTTTCACGAGGCACTGCTGATAGTGTCACTGCTGATAAATAAGGAGTAGCTGGTCTCACACACCCCCACCCCCACATGGTTTATGGAGCCGTGCCTTTTCAACTCAAGAGCACAATGGTAATCTTGCATTAACAGAGGAGCTTAAAAACATGAATGAGCCAGTGTATGTCTCAGGAGAACAGTTTGTTGTATTTGCACACACAATATTGCCCAAAGGTCATCATGTTTCATATCTTTTAGGAAGTAAATACAACATTCCTGTACACATCCCAGCTGTATCTAATTTTGGACCAACTGCAAAACAACCCCGATACAAAAAAAACAAACTTTTAACTGTGTTTTCAATGTGGAAATTAAGTCTACTAAATTTATTTTCTCAATTTCTCAAATGTGTTCTCAGATTACCATGAATTTAGAAGAACGGAGGTCCTTTTTGTTTTATCTAAATATTTGCAAATCTTTCTTTAAAAAATACGACAGTGATTGTCTAAGAGTGGAAAAGGAAAATGTGTGTGAAGATGAACTTGTTTGTCGTTTGTGCGTTCGGCGTGAGTCATCTTTAATAAGATGATAAGATAAATAATAATAATTAATAAGATAAATAAGTTTAGTGAAGTTATACGCCGCATTGCAATTGTGATGATGACTAACACCAGTTAGTTAGTCAATTTTAAAAACCACAATTAATAGTATAATGAATAGTAAAAATCTTCTGTGAGGAAAAATGTTGATGAATGATGAAAATGAAGAATGCAACTGATCAAGCCAGAGCTTATTGTGTACCATAGGTTAACACTGATACAGTGCTGTGTTTCAAAAAGCGTCATGTACAAATAAACATTACTGGGACACATATTTACAACACTGCTAACAATTTGAGTTATAGTAAGTCACACAGTTACAAGGCTTCAGCCAATCCCCAATAATCCTGATAGTCTCTTCTTGAAAACTAAGGTATCATTGCACCTTACAAATGTTCTATTTCTTAAATGGAGAACATGCAGTGCTTTCAGTCCAGAGGCTCAATTTAACCCCTCCCAAGCTGTAAATAGCCTGGTGCTGATGGTGTTAAACATGTGCATGAACCGGTACCAGCAAAAGAATCAGACCATCTTTTGAAAATCTTGCACTTACAGCCCCCTGAGACTGAGACACTACATGTAGGTAAATAATTAAAAACCCACATCCAGAGTTCTCATCTCCTCGTGCAATGAAGAACGTGAGGGAGAAAGGAAACCTGAGCACAAAAGACTCGGGGGTGGTGGTTAAGGGTGATCAGATCAATACCTCCTCAAACAGGCATGAATTCTGATGATTCTCTTTGTGCTGCAGAAACTCAACTGACAAAACACAGCAAAACACAGGGGAGCTCTAAAAAGAGTATAGGTTCTTATTTCTAATTGGTAGCCATGGTGTGTTTGTTTTATGTTGTTCAGCTTAAGTAATGAATCCTAGATTTTGTAATGGATATCTGAATTATCATTATTCTCCTGTTAAAGTAGATCCATATTCAGATCAGGGCATTTTAACCTATTCATAATTTGATTTTTAACAATGCATTATCTTTAAGGGCTCTAGTAAAAATGGTTCAATTCAAAATTCATCCATGTTTAGAATCAAGAGCTGCAATAATTATTTGCTTAATTAATCTGCAAATATTTGGATAATCGAAAAATGCCAAACATTTACTAGCATTAGTTTCTCAAATGTGAGGACTTGACACTTTTCTTTGTCGTAAGTAAAGTTTAACTGAATATCTGTGGGGTTTGGCCTGTTTGTCAAATAAAACAAGCTAAACAAAATACAGTCAAAAACAGCAGATTAATCATAAATAATGGTTAGGTGCAGTCCTTTCAGAATCCACACTGTTTCAGCACAAACAAGCTCAAACACTTACTTGTACTGCTAATTAGATGATAAATTAAATTGCTCTGAAATTTAACATAAAAACAATTACTGTTTAAAAAGAAAAAATTCCCACACATTCCCTTTACACTAAAGACAATTAATTGAATTGAAGAATTGATCAAACATAAGAAACATGCACATATTTAGTTGAACTATTAGCTTCACTCGCTAAACAGTGTTGAATATTTAACTTCTTTATTAGACCTATAAAATTACAAACACAGCAGACTCATACAGCATTTTAAACAACAAACTGATGAAATTATTTCAAAATTGACTTTACATGCCCAGATTATTAGCCTCGTGTAAATACAGCTAATCTTGATGGGTTTATCAAATCAAATCCTGAAGCTTCTGGAATAACTATGACAGTATCCAAAAAGATTGTATGGGGATATCAGCATATTTTCTGCTTCATTACTATTAATCGGACAATTAAATTAATCTCCCTATAATGGGAGAGTTTTATACAACAAATGCATCTAACTGTTATGGTTTCATGCTCTATAGTCTTTACCGCTGGGTTGTTCCCACTGACTGACAGAAAAGGAGCCATCTACTATTACTCAGCTCTCATTAGAACAACAGTCCAAGATGGCAGCTGGATAACATAATGCACAGAGCCCATGTTGATTCAGTTAAGAGGCCATTCATATCACCCCCAGCAGTGACAGAGGTAAAACTGTTGAACAATCATTTGATCACCGTGCCTGCTTATTCCTCACAGATGGCTCCCCAAAGGAACAACAGTCGGTGGCAGGTTTTGGAGGGTGGAGAGATGCAGCTGTCCCTGTTTGACTGGGTAAATAGTTGTGAGGTCTAATTTGTCCAACACCTCCACAAAAGAGAGGTTGTAACTCTATCAGCAGTTGACCTACTGTACTGCCCTTAGCTGGAACTGCAGCGCAAGCCTCTTTTGAAAAAGCCCCACTGAGGAAATGTCCCAGTGAGTGCCCCGTTGAGCGAAAGGCATGCAGGCTGTGCAACTCCCAGAGTGCTTGTCCTTTTTTCACAGATCCAGTTTCATTCAGCTATCTATCACAGAGGCCACATAAGGGTGATTCCGCCTTGAAAGCGCAGAAAAAAAAAAAAAGACGCGGGGAAAAGCCATTTCTGGTCGATTTGCAGTGGAACACAACTACAATCAGACCTGGCATAATGTTGTTTTCTGGATATGACTGTTAGGAACACCAGCTGTGCATAAAACAGAAATTACATTATGAGGTTCATCTATAAAGAACGTTCTGGAACTGACTCTGACGTAGGACTCGTTTAGCCATTTTATGCTTATTGTTTATATGTGACGGACAGAGGTGAGGAAAGGTGCAAAGGAAAATAACAACATACGCCAGGGGAATGCGCATGTTGTTAGGCATTGTTTGTGTCCGAATGCAGAACAGTTACTTACAGTTTCAAATGCATGTTTAAAAATCTGCTCCTGAGCAGTGTCAACCTGAAAATATCATAGTACAATTATCTTGGCCAGAACTATATCTGTACATGATTTATGAAAACCTTTAAACAGTAGTAAAACGTAGCTACTTTAATGACAGAAATCACCGTCTTTAAACACATTTGTAGGAAAATAGCTTCATTTAGACCAATAAATGTCATCAGCAATGCATATTTACCGGCATGTTACTGGGCCCAGGCCTTTGCTTGCAGTTGTTCCTGCTATAATTACAATCATAAAAACATACACTATGTTATGATGTTTTTATGTCATAAGCAAGGTATGTATACATTCATAATGATTATTGCATCATCTCTACTCCCAGTGCTCGAAATCTCATTAAGGACTGAAAAACGCTTCTCCAAAGTTACTTTAAATTGTCTTGCAGAGATGCAGGGAAGAGTCTGGTTTATCATGGCTCACAGAGGAGATTTTTAACGCCTCCAAACTCTCAGCTGCATGCCTTGCATTGCTGAGGCTCTGTGTTTCAGACAAGCGCTGATGGGTTGAAAAGTGAGGGATATCCAGGAGCACTCGGGCTGGGCCAACACCCAACACACAACTACAACAATAAACCAAATGGCCAAAGCTACAAGATGGTTTGTTTAACTTCTGTTAATAGCTGTCTTACCATTGCCTTGGGGGGAAGAAACCAAAGAAAAAAACAAGTAAAATAAAAAAAAAAGAAGGAATATTTCATTTATTTGACCTAATTTTTGTGCTCTTCTTTCATTTTAGGTCCGTGTGAGAGTCTCTACTACAATCTGCTTTCATTTACGGGCATGTTTTTCCTCTCCTTTGTTGAGTGGTGTAGAAGAGAGACAGGTTGACAACTCATTATGTTAAGTGCAATAACATTTTCCAATAAGTTAAAAACCAAGGATGGACAAGCGTCAACCCCAAATGTCGACAGTCGGGCCAAAATATCAGCCTTTTTTTTTTTTAGACACATGCAATCTGGAGACAGTGGCGAGGATGCTAATGGCAGGGAAGCTATCCTGAGAGCACTTGCAGCTCTCTGGCTTTTACAGCTACAAAGAGAAGTTGACAACACCTTCCTACTCTGTTTCTACACTGTGTTCTAGAGCTGAAAACACTGATGATGAAAAACCTGTGTAGACCTACGTTTTTTCCCCACACAGAAAAATGAGTTTCGAGGCAGCCACGTCCATCAAATTTTGTGCCATCTCTGCCTCACAACAAAATTCTAGTAGGCCTACTTGTTTTCTCTGTGGATTTTGTAACTGCAATTGCGGCTGTACGCCACTACAGCAATGTAGCGGCGTTGT